TTCATTGATGGCACGGCGTTCGGTAGTCGACACACGATATGGACGCTGCCGTATTGGCGTCCTCTTGACCGGTATCTATACGGTGAACAAACAGATGACGCTCGACCTAAGGAAGGCTGATTGTCGTCAAACGAGGCTCGAAGAACGCTGTAGGGAGCTTGATCAGCTGTTCCTGCTGCCCAGGGGTGAGGTTACAATCAATGGACTTGCGGAATACATCTATAGGTTCATTAGCGTCCGTTGCGGGTGTAATAACACAAGTCGGTAAAAATGGCTTGTCTGGGATAGATCGGGTCTTCGAAAATACAATTAAGGTCTCGAGGCTTCCCAGACACTCGCCGCGTAGCAGGATGTACGGACATGCAGAAACGTTGCACGCATAAAGTACCGCCGAACCATTGGAAAAGTTGATGACGGCAAACGGGAGGACGATGGTTCGGTGTTGCACACTAGCTATAGTTGGCTGGAACAGGAGCGTCGAGTTAGCGGCAGCAGGAGGAAACACAGGCACTAGGACGGCGGACAACGGCGCGATGCGGACGTCAGCTGCGGCAAACACTTTGGAGGGACTGTGGTGGTCGATATCAAGGCACGGATTCGTCAACGTGAGTTCAGCACGAGCGCAGTCGACGAGGGCCTGATGGGTAGAAAGGAAATCCCATCCTAGTATGACGTCGTAAGATGAACGTGGGGAGAACAACAAAGTTGACGGCGTACCAAACATCTTGAATAAAAACGCGTGCTGTGCACTGAGCTGTCGGCGCGATGAAATGGGAGGGTGGCTGTACGCAGAGCAAGATTCGTAAGCGGCGTTGTAACTTTTCTCAAATCGCGACACAGTTTTTCACTAATTACAGAAACGACGGCGCCTGTGTCGACAAGTGCACGTACAGCAACACCTTCTACTAGCACATCAATTTCGTTGGTCGGACAAAGAGGAGGTCTTAGAAAGTTCGACGACGACGCAGTTCTTGCCTCCGGAACTGTGGCTGTCAGTTTTCCTCTCGAGCGGGGCTCATGCGCCGAAGCATCGGGGAGACCGATCGGCGACGGGGTGGTAATGACCGGCGAGAATCGACAGGGCGTCGTGGGGACAATGAGTCGGTGATAGGAGAAGATGGTCGCCGGGGATTCTTGGCAGCCTGGTAATTTGCAGAATTCCCGTGGTCTGGAGGCTGGAAGTTACGACGGCGACAGTAGCGTGCTATATGTCCCACGAAACCGCATGCGAAACATATGGGCCGATTATCCAAGGTGCGCCATGGGTTAACGACAGAAGGTGCAGGGGGCGAAACGGGATGGGGTGCCGTGTATGTAGGCAGCGTCGTAGGGTAGGAGGACCCGGTGCCCCTGTATGCGCCAGAGACAGGTGGGGCTGGGGGTCTAGCAACGACGGCAGCGTAGGTCAGCGGCGTAGGGACAGATGGCGATGGAGGCAGTGCCTGCGTGACCTGTGTCTCAATGACCTGGCGTAGACGTGGGTCTAACGATGTCACTGGCGCGGATGCTTCGGCCACAAGAGAAAGCTGACGCGCAACTTCTTCACGAATGAACTGTTTGATGTGGGGCAGTAAGACGGTGTGATCAGCAGTGACATCGTGCACGAGGGCGGAAACTTCAGCCGTATCTTCAGCGGCCCTGCGCGTCGAGACACGCTGCTTACGCAACTCGTCGTACTCCTGACAGAGCTGGACAACATCGGTGATGGTCTGTGGATTCCGAGCGACGAGCATCTGGAAGGTATCGTCGTCAACTCCTTTGATGATTTGCTTGATTTTGTCGCGTTCGGTTAGAGATTCATCGGCGCGCTTGCAAAGAGACAAGACATCTTCAATGTAACTTGTAAAGGTCTCGTCCCTGCGCTGGATTCGACTACGGAGACGCCGTTCCGCGCGAAGCCGGCGCACGGCGGGACGACCGAAGACCGCGGCGATGGTGGTCTTGAAGGCGGACCAGTTGGTGATTTCGCCTTCGTGGTTCTTGAACCAGAGGCTGGCCACATCATCGAGGTAAAAGCGCACGTTTGTGAGCTGGTCGCAGGCGTTCCACTTGTTGGAAGCGCTTACGATTTCGTACTCGACGAGCCAGTCCTCGACGTCTTGTTCGTCGTTGCCGCGAAAAATTGGTGGGTCGCGTTGCCGAGGCACGCCAGTACAGTAGACTGTCGTTGGTAAGGCAGCTTGAGAAGGGCCAGGGGCAGTCATGGTGAACGGTGAGGGTAGCGTCCGATTGCGAAGTTCCAGGTTGATGGGAACCCCGGCTCCTCCACCACTTAAAATAGAGGTGTTGTACGTCGAGAAAGGTCCAGACGCAGCTCGGCAAAATGAGCTTTAATAGGCAGGTCTGGCTAATGACGAACGGCGTGCGCGAGCTACTACTGCAGCCACCGATCATCGTCGTCTTCTTCATTGCCAGCAGAGCGTCCGTTATTCAGATTCAGTAATTCATTACAATATATATATATATATATAATATATATATATATATATATATATATATATATATATATATATATATATATATATATATATATATATATATATATATATATATATATATATATCTATATATATATATATATATATATATATATATATATATATATATATATATCCGGCTTGATTGAGGTAGATCACAAATGCATTTTGTATCTTCGAAAATGTATAAAGCTCAGGGGCGGATACAGGATTTTCTGAAGGAGGGGGCAGCTTATGCGAGAGATCTGCGTTCAGATATCAGGCGAGGCGGGGGGGGGGGAGCAGGAAATGACGATGCTTCCCCACCATCGGAGGGACGCCCATTTGCTTGCGTGTCCTCTCCTAACCGGCTCTCTCCCGCCTATACTGAGTTTCCTCACCACGCGGCTAAGGGGAGGGCGAGGAGAGCACAACAAAGTCAGTTGAAAATCGGGTTTCACGCCATCCGGACGCAACCTTGACAACAGTAAAATTACCACATGATTGTGGGCACAACTCAATCGACAGAAATCAAGGCACCTTGTGATTTTTGTCATTTTATCGCTCCTTTCAACGCATTAAAAGTTCTCAATGTGGTCATTGCGGGAAGGCGTGGGATTCAGCTGTGGATTTCCAGTATGTTCCGAAGATCAGGCGGGCACAGGGTACTCCACTAGGAGAAACGAAGCCTCACCACAACCCCCCCCCCCTTCCTCCTGCCCCAGCCGACGTCTTCGACTAGAGTTCACAAAAGAAGAAAAAAAGCAGCCAGCTTCTCTTCTCACCACATCCTCTTCGTAAACACCGCCGATAAAGTGGAGCTGATGCCATCATTGATAAGGCTTCAATATTACTGAACTTCAAAATAAGGTAGGTTATATAATAAAATTACAAAATTTGTTGATATTTTGGCGCTCGGCGAAATGTATAAAAAGCTATGCTCTTTTTTGTGAGTAATAAACCAATAAATAAATCAAAATCTTTCTTTAAAATTACGCATCTTGGCAGAGAAGTATATTAATATGGATTAGCTAGTTGACCGATGTGTTGCACTGAGATAATTTCACACAGCCAAGCGTACCATTGCATTGGAAAGCCCAGAAAAGAGAAAATGACAGGCACAGGTAAATCCATTCAAAGATTACTTAAAGGCATTTGTAAGAGGGTTTGTCGTGCAGCAGTCAACGACCTGCAGGTCAAAAAGAAATGATCAATAATTTCCATCTCACCACAGATCGTGCACGACGGAGAAGGTGCCGGACCGGACCGGTGGGACCGGTGTCGGTAGAAGTTTAGTCACGGCACCCTGCAGGGCAGCCTCGTTATTGTCGCTTCCAGTTTACGGGCTTGAAAGTGATGTCCAGCAGGAATAAAACAAGTGCCAATATTCAGTGGAATTAATCAGTGCTGTATCGGCAAATCGCGCAGCCGCCACGTGATGGAAGGTACGGTAAAATTGGCCAACTTATTCACGACCTCGCTAAAGAATCGGCAACCTTGTATGCCCAGACACCCAAACTAATCGAACGTTTCTCAAATACATGACCACAAGTGCAAGAATTAACGCCTTTATTATGTGATAGCCAGCACCAGCAGAAAGTGCAACGCAGGAAGATGGGAACCTGTGATTATAACGAGTGATGTAATTGCCGCGGTTAACTATCTTACGGCGGGCACCCCTTCCAAAAAATCAGCCACAAAAACCGGTGTGAAATTAGGCAGTCGAAGGGAAAACGACAAACTTGAATTCGGGCTACCTGACCTTTCGTCACTCTTTGATGCATATGTGGCAATAATAACGTTTATGCTGATGCTCTGCAGATTCACTTACAACAAACCATCTAAAGTATAATCGGTAAGTAACTTTGTAATATTAAGAAAAATATCCTCAAATTGATTATCGATTGGGTATAAATTAACGCAAGTAGAAGTTACATCGCTGTGGCCTATATTCAGCGGGTCCAGTACACGTTGCACAAATATAATTTCAAATAGAGGCTATCTCACACCAACAATAATAATAATAATAATAATAATAATAATAATAATAATAATAATATAATAATAATAAATAATAATAATAATAATAATAATAATAATAATAAAATGATAATAGCTATAAATTTTATTATTATTATTATCATCTGGAGGTTAAGCTCCCAAAACTAAGATGTCATTATGAGATGTAAAGGTACGAGATGGTGGTAGTAGGAGTGTTGACTAGATGGATAGACGGACGCTTAACGTATGAATTTCAGATTTTTGCCCCGGACGCTTGTGCGATACTGGGTGATTCAGATCAATTATACGGTACGTTATTCTTTTTCCTTGAATTACTACACCCATGAACTCGTGTTCTTCGTACTCGTACGAAACGCCATTTTTTTTCACTAGAAGCTCCTTCAGTTAACCATAGTGGGTGTGAGCCATGAACAGATAACCGAAGAAGAAATGATGTGGTCAGCGTTTAGAAGTCTCGTTTTCATAGTGTTTTATTCACACGTCACATCATGCGCTTCGGATCTCTTCACGGCAACCGAAGACATGCAGGAGTCCATAGGCACCGAACAGATCGCGCTCGAAGATGGCCACTTCTACGTTTTGCTGCAGGAGCGCAAGCTAGCCGCTGTCATAAGCCACTTCGAGGCATTCAGGAAAAACGAGCCACTGAGAGCCCAACACAGCGCCGTAGCAACGTTCCTCTTCGTCATCAGACTCTTCAACTTCACCTCGTCCGGTGCCCTCAGCGTATCCGCCGTATCACACACCTATCTTGGGAATGTTTCCAACGCTTTCCTTTCGCCTTCCTCCCGAGAGTGGTGGCCCGCGGACAGTGACGTCTCCGGAGCCGCTATTGGAATCTGCAAACTGCAGCACCTTTACGACATTCCCGTAGATGAAATGGCAGCCACGAAGTCCCCATTGTTGCCCCTTGCTTCACCCGAAGACTTCGCCTACGTGGCCAGGGGATGTTCAATGACTGCACAGTTCGGAAACACATCTGTCTGGAGCCAAGCCGCTCTGGCTAGGAGGTCGTCCATCGAGGGTGCTCCTTTTCAGAGGCTTAAAATGGGTTTGGGCTGGCTACAGACCAATGACCATCGCCGGGCGCTGTTAAAACAACGGGCGAAGTATACGACGGCCAGCCAAGTCTATCCTTCGCCGCCGGAGATAGATATCGATGAATACAAGGCAGTATGTGTCAGAGAGGGATTCCTGAGGCCATCAGGCAGCACACTTGTATGCAAATTGTCTACGAACTTCGGAGACCCACACTTGATTCTACAACCACTCAAGCTAGAGATTCTATCACTGAAGCCACGTGTAGTGGTCATCAGCGACTTCCTGTCCACATCGGAAGTCAATTACCTCAGATCAACAGCGCGCAAAGGACTCGTACGGGCTGGCATCTATTCTCCAGAACAAGTTTTAGGAGTGCCAAGCTGGAAACGAATCGGCAAGGTAGGAGAATATGAATGTTTGCAATTTAAACGTGTCATTGTGACTTCAAATGTGACGGGATTTTTTCGGCTGCCCTTAGTTAAGAGTTACTCGATGCCTTCCGCAGAAGCTCGGAAAAAATAGTTAATCGAGGCACCTATGCACGTTTGATGACCCACAGTTGCGTCGTTATAAACGGCAAACGATGCTGCTTATCAATAACAAAAACCAGTCTAACAGGAAGGGTTTCTGAGAAACCCTTCCGACTTCGGTTATTAGATGCGAAGCAGCTCTTTCACGAGCCTGTGCAACGCTGTCCCTCCGTCCGCCCCGCGCTCCGCTGACCGCAGGTGTTGGGGTGGTGCCAAGTAGGTCACGCGTGCCCTCGCAGTTCGCGAGCTTTGACGTCACACTCTCCCTAACCTGTCACCGTGTGTCATCTCCCTCACTTCACCCTCTCCACCGCTTGCAACACTCGAGCCAACTCCTCACTTGGCCATCATCTCATCCGCGCCACCTCTCTCCATATGACAAAGAGAAGAAGCCGCGAGCCGCAGAATCTCACGGCACCGACAACACGGACAGCGCGCGGCTGAATGCCGCGCGGTTCGCGCCGACGGATGAGACGCCGTCGCGGAATGCTTCCAATAGTGTGTGCGTACCTTTACCGGCTGTCGCCGGCGTTGCGAGGGTTAGCGAAGCCGATCGCGTTCGCTAATGTTGACGTCAACACCGACGAGGCACGGCCAGGGAAGCTGAACGCAAGCGTCGGCTGTGGAAGACCAGCGACACCGCCGAGGGGCAAGTCAAGAACAATGATGGCGTTCGAGAATACAGACGGCGCGCGGATAACACCGACGAGACGCGATACAAGGAAGCCGAGATCAAGCATCTTCAACGCGTCCCGCCTCTCGTGTCTTTGCGTTTCAAACAAACGTTTACTCGAGTAAATGTTACACCGAGTTTCGCTTCAGACCGTTCTTCTAGCACCCCCTTTGACGTGCGTTTCAACCGGGTCAACGCCGTGCGCACCACTGCTGCTTCGCATCCTATCAGGGTTTCCTTCAGAGAGATGGTCCATAGTTTTTATGGACGAAGCTCCTTACGCCGTTGGTCTTACGTCCGCGATGTATGTAATAGTAGCAGTAGTAGTAGCCACCTCCACGGCTCGACGAGAGGAGCGGCACGCGCTCTTTTTAATTGACGAGGAAGTCCGCGCACGTTAATAATAAATAAAATTAATAGCTGTTTCTGATGAAATAACCTACAGAGACGAGTATCGGTGACTTAATATTCGATAAAGTTTGCCTGAATTTGATGCCTACTAAACAATACTATTAACAGAAGGACTCGCTTTGAGCACGATCTGACCAGAAATGTTTGCCATGTTAAACTCGCTAGGCGTAAACTCCTTGGTTTTAGCAAGGTTTAGCGAGGGTTGGGCCGCAGTGCCATGACTAGCAGTGGTGAAAGGTGGGAACTAAAAACACGAAGCGCAGGCAGTAAGAGAGTGCGCACGTGCTGCTCTCCTAGTCCGGCCGTGCCAGCTCATTTATTTATTTTACTTACAGAGCTCCTGCAACGCCTAAGTGGTATTACTGCAGGGGGGTTTACACACAAAATTGCATGTGGTTACTAACATTTCTGTGAATGGTGACGCTTTAAACCTTCTGGAAAATAAAACAACATATAATAATTACAGCATGCAATCAAAAATATTTCAGTACAATATGACAGGTGGCGAACAGGTACTAAAAGTGAATAGGCATGTCACGATGTCACAAAGATGAAAAAAAGTGCTGTTGTCACTCAAGTTTACGATATCTTGTGGAAGTTGATTGACTGATTGATATGTGGGGTTTAACGTCCTAAAACCAGCATATGATTATGAGAGACGCCTTAGGAAGGGCTCCGGAAATTCGACCACCTGGGTTTTTTAACGTGCGCCCAAATCTGAGCACACGGGCCTACACAACATGACTACATGCCACGCTCATATTGCGCTCACGGCTGTTTTGCTAGCCTCACATATACCAAATTTGGTATTACGGTACGTGAATGAATGACAAAGGTATGATACTGGTGCAAACATGATAAACACAAGATACGGGTCATGTAACAACATGGCAACATGATACGCTCATTATGAGCTCACGGCTGTTTCGCTAGCTTCACATGTACCAAACTCGGTATTAAGCGATACGAACGGACGGCATTGGGACGTTAAACCCCACAAATCAGACGTCAATTGATGACCGAGTTCTGTGACTGGTACACACATGATAATCATGAGATGCGTGTCATGTTATAACATGACTACATGCCACAATCAAGGCGCCAATTCATTTTGACGTGACGCGGTGCGGGTGCTCGCCAGCATTCATTTAGTCGCGTCACGCCAGCGTTGCCACGCCAGACGCTGGCCCTGCCATATACTCGTAGGCGCGCGCCGCGCTGCGTTTCTTTGACGCATGCGCGTATCCGCGCGTCTTTCCTCATCATGAAGACAGGGAAACACAGTGTTTTATGAGTAAAGGCCAAAGCTCACAAGCGCGAAAATGCACGTGACAGCGACAAGCGACACGACGTAGATCGGCTTTGCGCGATCAGTCACTAGCGCTGACAAACCTCATTCATGCGACGGCTTCGGCGAGCGAATTCCACTGTTGCTGGCATGAGGCCGTCTACTCGCACCAAGAAAACCGCGTAGCGAGGCGTATGCAATTTAAGAATAAGATATATTGTTGTGTAATGAAACGGAAAGTATTTATTATTGCCTTACAGCACTTTTTATATGCACATGCGTAATAAACACTGCGTTATTTCTTGTTGCGCATACGTGACTTGGGCAGGGTCACGTGCACCTATGTAGTCTTTGTCTTTTCCGGTATTTCGCTATTGGCTGCTTGAGCCCAGCACTTCCGAGCGATGAGCGATGGTTTCCAAATCTGGAGAACCGAGCGATCGCGTGAAAACGAGCACGCGACACGTCGCGTGAACGCCCTGTTTCGTCGCTCATAGCGTCGCTCGTCGCTGTCGCGTGCATTTTCGCGCTTATGAGGTTTGGCCCTAACGCATCGGCGCGAAATGCAGCATGTCGCATTTCACGCCAGTAGCCGTCGGGCCGCTCCGATGGACGCTGGTCGCTCCTGGCGTCAGACTAGAGTGCTCGCGTTTTGCTAACGTAACATCGCTGTGCCCAGTGTGCGCACGCGTCAACGCTACATTGGAGTATATCGGGCCCTTCGTGATGCGTTCGCGGCTGTTTTGCTAGCTCCACATATACCGAATTCAGTGTTACGTGACGTCAACAGATGACGATATATATGACTGGTACAAACATGATAATCCTGACATATCATGTAAGAACATGACAACATACCACGCTCACATCGTGCTCGCAGCCATTTCGCTAGCTCCGCATATACTAAACTTGGTATCACGTGACCTCAATAGATGAAGGTAAACTACACATCCAAATCATGATAATCATGAGACGAAAGTCAGTTTGGGGAACAACTACGGACACCAATTACAATAGGTTGTTAGTTTAATAATAATGTCGTTAAAGAAAACAGTTATACTGGTACAGACAAAGTTCAGGAATATTGAGCGTCGATTGCCTAAAGGGAGGACGAATTACGGAAAGCAGACATTACATTACCAAATTGCACATTTCCTGAACAAATACAAAGGCATTGTCTGCTGGACTTATTCTGCTAAAAATGAAACATAAATTCAAGACACATCTCTTTATCATTATGTCGGTGATTAACTGCTTGTATACTATTGTTACGAGTGACTGTGCTTATTTAAAGATGAGGTGAAATGGCGTTGTGAAAGAGCAGCGTACTTCTGAGACAGGCCTAGAACGCTTCACCCAACCACACAGTCCAAGCGCCGCTCCACTACTCTTCTTCTTCTTCCGCACCCCGTAGGCTCCCGCATCTTCGTTTCATTTCCCCCGGCGGCAGACGAAGCTCGCCGAGCGAGTCAAATAGGCCTATGATGGCACTGTTTAAGGCGGGCTACGTGAACAATTTGCGTAGTGCGCGAACGCCGGTTATTGGCTGTGACTCGCGCGACAACGTAATTCACGTCACTGAGATGACTGACTATCACGAATGGGCCGGAATAGTTTGCTAGAAACTTCCGGTATAATCATTTTCTACGAACAGGAGTTCACAGCCACACGTAGTCACCAGGAAAAAAATCTACGGGGATATGCTTGGCATCGTAGCGACTCTTGCTGTGTTCTTGCGAAGACAATGTTCGAAGGCGCGCTAGTTGACGTGCTTCTTCAGCGCGACACAACGTCTGAGCGATGGATAGATCTTCCTGATGCAAGAAAGGTGATAAAGTGTCCAGAAAACTCTGTGGATTTCGTGCGTAAAGCAGATAGAAGGGCGAATGTCCAGTAACTTCATGCTTGGCGGTGTTATACGCGTAAGTAACAAACGGTAAGACGGCGTTCCAGTTCCTGTGGTCAGCATCAACGTACATCGATAGCATATTCGTGAGAGTTCGATTTGTTCTTTCAGTGAGACCGTTACTTTGTGGATGGTAAGGAATGGAGTGGCGATAAGAGGAGCCACATAGGCGCAAAATTTCTTCAAACACATCGGCGATAAATTGTCGTCCACGGTCACTGATGACAACCCGTGGAGCACCGTGACGCAGTATGACCCGTTGTAACAGAAAAGAAGAAACAGCGGATGCTGTGGCTGATGTCAGTGCGTCCGTTTCCGTATAACGCGTTAAATAATCCACGCACACTATAACATATCGGTGGCCCGATGGGGCCTTAGGAAGCGGTCCGAGCAAGTCGATGCCGACTTTTTCAAAAAGGGATGTCGGTGGAGGGATGGGCTGCAAATAACCTGCTGGGGCAGTGATGGATCGCTTGTGGCGCTGACCTATAGCGCAGCTGGCGACGTACTGTTTTGTGGTCTAGTCTGCCCTGAAAAAGGGGTGAGGAGATTAATGGAGAAGGAAGAGAAGTGAAGGGCGACGTGTGTGTA